ATATATATATATTAAAATGGCATTTTTTGTTTCCAGATGTACCAGTGGCGAAGGTCTTCACACGTTCCAATCGCATCAAGCTGAGACAATCTTTCAGGTGTTTAAATTAACTATCTGATTTGAAAACAATGAAAAAACCTCATAAATAATATTTGAAATACACATAATAAAAGTTGAATAGATAATAAAAAGTGTAATATAATAAAAAGGTCCATTCAGCTGGTTCAATCACGAATTCAAGACAATGCAAATATGGGATTAACAACAACGACAACAACCCGCAATATGCGTTCCCAATCCGTAACTGATAGTATTCGTAGTACCCATAGCTCTTTATCCGGATACACTTCATTGGGTGCTCGGATTCATCCCATTCAGCGGTATTCTAGTGAAGGTTTAATTATTTGTATTGTTATTTTGATTATTAATATTATTATTATTATCATTGGTATTATCACCATTATTATTGTTGTTATTATTAATTGCTTTATTATTATTACTTATTATCATTATTATTATCATGTCAAACTATAGTATGTATTTGCAAATATTGAAGATAGAATTTGACTTAAGAAATTGTTTCTAAACTTTAGGAACAAACAGTATTAGTGAATGCTTGCAAGCATCTTCAACGTCTGCTTATACGACGCATTATAATCGTGCCGCAAATCGTTTATTAAATAATAATGCAAATGATAATAATAATGATATTATTCAACAAAATGTTTTATTATTCAAACGACCGCGTAGTCTTGCAACGCCAACGCATAATTCATCGTTGTGGACACTGACACAACAATCGCCGCATCATTATTTTCATAATAATAGTGATACCAATAATAACATCAATCATAATGTCGCTGGCGATATTGTGTTAGTTATTTATACGTTATCATCATAATCGTTTTAATGATAACTGCCACGATTAGCAAAAACGAGTTTGTACTGCAGAAATGAACGAATTCTTGAACGACATCAGTCAGAATCTCATCCAACTACTGCAAAGCAACAAGTGCTTGAAAATGGTGTTGCGCTGACGAGCAAAGGTTTACTCAGCTCAAAATCCCTCGACCATTGGTATGTGAATATTGATTCGTCGAAATTTCAAAAACGTCACAATTTGGGCAATTATCATCATGCAAAAACTCATCTGCCCTCATATTCATTGAATTCCATGCCGAGTGCTCTCTTAGCACCACTCCCGTCTACAGCTAACAGTGTCATTCGGTTAGTACTTATTGCATGTTTATTTATTCACAAAAACGTCTATTTCTTAGTGTCACTTCTACAACTTTCACGTACCGTTTTTTGAAACCATTACAAACGCATTTCCCCCAACCACACTTTTTTCAAGCACCCATTCATAATTTAATTTTTCAACTGGCACCACTGCTAGAGTTTGGTCGGTAACCACCGACCGAGGACAGGACTCTTTTCGATGGCTACCGACCGAAACTAAAAATGAGCAATCGGTCTGCGGACTAGGAAGACCGAGTTTTGGGGGTCGTCCATCGAAATCAAGCGATGCAAAAAAATTGACTTATCGGCTGCTAGCTGATGAGATGTTCGATCAAAAAAAGAAATCTGTTGGGCACCAACTCTGACCATAATAATATGTGCGAACATTGTGAAAATTTCGTTGAGACAAAAAAAATCGCACTGTTTATTGTTATTGGATGTTTGAATGTGAAATATTATGAATGCAAATCATTGAACTGAATGATTGTTTCAGAGGTGAAACAAATAGTAATAAAATAATTTCAACGATTAACAATAATATCACGGCACTAAATAATAATATATGGAATAGTCTACCGAATCGTTCAATTTCTGAAACTAATTCCCCTGCTGGCGATAAATTCTTTTACGGACGATATGTTAATGTGAAAGAGGTAACTTAATTCTTGTTCATTTGTTCAATTTCACAAAAAAGAAAAATTCAACATTGACAAATTACTTAAGGAACACCACACATTCGAGGTCGTTTGTAAGTTTGTTAAAATTGCTTGCGAACATTCATCATTACTGCTCGTGAAATCACTATTATTGCTTTATTTCGCATTAAAACTGATTATTGCTTGTCATAAAGAATGCAGTCGTTTTCTGTAGATGGTGCCAACACCAAATTCAATGATTTTAACGTCGAGCAACGAAGCGCGTGAGCCTACACCGCCCCAACTTGACTACGCATCTGTGAATGTTGGCACGGCTGGCGTTAACGATGTGACAGCTAACGGCGCCATAAGCTCCACTCAAACGATACGGTAAGTTTTAAAAGTTCTTTTTTTCGATAAAAAATTTACTGATCCGGTCCGTTTGAAAGAGAACGAATTTTTTTCGTGTTTCCATGAAAATTGTCAGCGTTTCGGCTGTTATTCGTGGTCGCGATAATGACGGAAATTTTCAATATTTATTAGTAAAACGCATGCAAAAAGAAAGTGATGAGATGCAAGAATAAACATAATCAAAAAGGGCCAAGAAAGGCATCGTGAGGCTATGTATTCGCCTCTCAACATTGTTATTATAACACGATGATGCATGCATGGTGGTAAGCTGAAAGTAGCAAGTTCCGCAAAAAGATGGAAACTCGTTTCGATGGTCGATCTGCTATGAAGAAACGAGTTAAAAATTTCAGCTCAACCATAAAATCCCGTATAAGTTGGTGTGAATGGATAAGATTCATAAATAAGTCTGTGTTGATTTGTTAGAAAGTGATTCAGAGTGGTCGATTTCAGAAGAAATTCATCAAACGTTATTACAAACTGTAACGATAGCAACAACAATAATACGACCTTACAAAACGACAGTCTGAATGCAACATCGCCATCAATGTCAAATGGTATTGTTGTTGTTCCATCGCAAACGTGCTCGTCGAATGTGAATTATGCAAAAATTGATTTGGAACGTACACATGCGGTTGAAGTGGCCGCAAATGCTAGCGAAAAGGAGAATCCGCATAGAAGGCATTTTATGAACGGTGGCTCGATGGCTCCATAAACTTATTAGTATTGATCACAAATTTCCAAGCCAATCTCCAATACTCATCTTCCCCCACTTCTTTCTTTCCATCTACATAGAAGTACCCTCAAAACTGTTTGTCCCCTTCTATTCGATCATCAGTTCAGAATTACTTTTTCCTAAAATCCCCAAAAAATATTCATTCATCTAAAAAATGTTCATCTGATCCCCCGTCCATCCCAACCTCCTTTCCATTTTCTACCCATCCCCCGCTACAGTCTTTCTGGTAAACTTCAAAAATTTTAAAAGATATTTCTTAAATACAATTAGTGTTGATTGATTGTGATTGCATTTGATTTGACTGCATATCGAAACATTCAACTGAATTCAAAATCACATTGCCTATTCAATTTTAAACACAAAATTGGAATTAAATTTGAAATCATTCATTTTACTCATCTCACTTCATTTATACTTAATTGGTCAGTTTCTCATTTAATTGAGAGATTCGGTGGTAAACGAACGAGCGATTTTAATTCTTTTTTATTTCGAATTGAAAGAAAAGCAAAACAATCTTAAAATTGCATTTTCTTGTTCGGTCATTCATTCATTCGGTTACTAATTTTCATATACACACTTTTTTCTTCTCGAAAAAAATAACAAAAATTTGCTCAAGAAACGAAAACATTTTCCTCTTCATCTTTCTTTGCATTCATTTTGAGAAATTCAAAATTTTCTCCTGATGTTTTTTTCATTCAGCTTTATTCTTTCATCCATTTTCCGTTCTTTCTTAATGTTAATTGGCTAATGTCGCCTTAACGTTTCCTTCGATCAATCGATCGGACGTTTTTGTTTATGTTTTTTCTTCGTTGTGATTTCTCATTTATTTATTTACTAGTCGTTTCTTTCGACTCAAAAATAATCAAAAGTAAATGAAGTGAAAAAGAAATTTTTCCATTTTACTCTGTAAAAATTTCCCACATTTTTCAGAATTTTCTCAAAAAAGTAGTTTTCTTTTCTCCATTCTTATTACAATCAATTTTTCGAGTTCGAATCTTCCTCAGTACGTTTTCATTAATTCTACACAAAATATCTTATTGTTAGTTACTTATGATTTTTATGTTATAATATTAATAGTGTGTAATTAAATGAATGAATGAATCGATGAATTTTATTCTTTTCTTAATGTCATCACCCGAAATATTTAAGTCAATTTGCCACTATTTTTTGCTTCATCCAACTGAACGCTCAATACTTGTTTCGTTTGCATTCTTTTCTTTCGCTGAAACTGAATTTCTTCCACTCATATATATATATATATATATATAT